GATCCATTGTAGGGAGTTCGATTCCCAGGCTCTTCATGGTTATGTCTTAGCACAACCAGGATCCATTGTAGGGATTTTTGAATCCCAGGTCCATCATAGTTATGTCTTAGCACTAGCAGGATCCATTGTAGGGATTTTGAAACCCAGGTTCTTCATGGTTATGTCTTAGCACCACCAGGATCCATTTTAGGGCGTTCGAATCACAGGTTCATCATCGGTATGTCTTAGCACCACCAGGATCCATTTTAGGGAGTTCGAATCTCAGGTTCATCATGGTTGTGTCTTAATACTACCAGGAGCCATAGTAGGGACTTCCAGTACCAGGTTCATCATGGTAATGTCTTAGCACCACCAGGATCCATTGTAGGGAGTTCGAATCACAGGTTCATCATCGGTATGTCTTAGAACCACAAGGATCCATTGTAGGGAGTTCGAATCCATGATTCATCATGGTTGTGTCTTAACACCACCAGGATCCATTGTAGGGAGTTCGAATCACAGGTTCATCATGGGTATGTCTTAGCACCACCAGGATCCATTGTAGGGAGTTCTAATCACAGGTTCATCATGGTTATGGCTTAGAACCACCAGGATCCATTGTAGGGAGTTCGAATCACAGGTTCATCATGGCTATGTCTTAGAACCACCAGGATCCATTGTAGGGAGTTCGATTCCCAGGCTCTTCATGGTTATGTCTTAGCACAACCAGGATCCATTGGTAGTGAATCCCAGGTCCATCATAGTTATGTCTTAGCACTAGCAGGATCCATTGTAGGGATTTTGAAACCCAGGTTCTTCATGGTTATGTCTTAGCACCACCAGGATCCATTTTAGGGAGTTCGAATCACAGGTTCATCATGGTTATGTCTTAGCACCACCAGGATCCATTTTAGGGAGTTCGAATCACAGGTTCATCATCGGTATGTCTTAGCACCACAAGGATCCATTGTAGGGAGTTCGAATCCCAGGTTCATCATGGTTATGTCTTAGAACCACCAGGATCCATTGTAGGGAGTTCGAATCCCAGGTTCATCATGGTTATGTCTTAGAACCACCAGGATCCATTGTAGGGAGTTCGAATCCCAGGTTCATCATTGGTATGTTTTAGCACCACCAGGATCCATTGTAGTGAGTTCGAATCCCATGTTTATCATGGTTATGTCTTAGCACCACCAGGATCCATTGTAGGGACTTCCCAATCACCAGGTCCATTGTAGGGAGTTCATCTCAGGTCCATCATGGTTATGTAGCACCACCAGGATCCATTGTAGGGAGTTCGAATCCCAGGTTCGTCATGGTTATGTCTTAGAACCACCAGGATCCAGTGTAGGGAGTTCGAATCCCAGGGCCATTATGGTTATGTCTTAGCACCACCAGGAGCCATAGTAGGGACTTCCAATACCAGGTACATCATGGTTATGTCTTAGCACCACCAGGATCCAGTGTAGGGAGTTCGAATCTCAGGTCCATCATGGTTATGTCTTAGCACCACAAGGAACCACTGTAGGGAGTTCGAATCCCAGGTTCATCATGGTTGTGTCTTAACACCACCAGGATCCATTGTGGGAAGTTCGAATCCCAGGTTCATCATGGTTATGTCTTAGAACCACCAGGATCCATTGTAGTGAGTTCGATTCCCAGGCTCTTCATGGTTATGTCTTAGCACAACCAGGATCCATTGGTAGTGAATCCCAGGTCCATCATAGTTATGTCTTAGCACTAGCAGGATCCATTGTAGGGATTTTGAAACCCAGGTTCTTCATGGTTATGTCTTAGCACCACCAGGATCCATTTTAGGGAGTTCGAATCACAGGTTCATCATGGTTATGTCTTAGCACCACCAGGATCCATTGTAGGGCGTTCGAATCGCATGTTTATCATGGTTATGTCTTAGCACCTCAAGGATCCATTGTAGCGATTTCGAATCCATGGTCCATTATGGTTATGTCTTTGCACCACCAGGAGCCATAGTAGGGACTTCCAATACCAGGTTCATCATGGTTATGTATTAGCACCACCAGGATCCAGTGTAGGGAGTTCGAATCACAGGTTCATCATCGTTATGTCTTAGAACCACCAGGATCCATTGTAGGGAGTTCGAATCCAAGATTCATCATGGTTGTGTCTTAACACCACCAGGATCCATTGTAGGGAGTTCGATTCCCAGGTTCATCATGGTTATGTCTTAGCACCACCAGGATCCAGTGTAGGGATTTCAAATCCCATGTTCATCATGGTTATGTCTTAGCACCACCAGGATCCATTGTAGGGACTTCCAATACCAGGTCCATCATGGTAATGTCTTACCACCACCAGGATCCAGTGTAGGGAGTTCGAATCCCAGGTCCATCATGGTTATGTTTTAGCACCACAAGGAACCACTGTAGGGAGTTTGATTCCCAGGTTCATCATCGGTATGTCTTAGAACCACCATGATCCATTGTAGTGAGTTCGAATCCCAGGTTCATCATTGGTATGTCTTAGAACCACCAGGATCCATTGTAGGGCGTTCGAATCGCATGTTTATCATGGTTATGTCTTAGCACCTCAAGGATCCATTGTAGCGATTTCGAATCCATGGTCCATCATGGTTGTGTCTTAATACTTCCAGGATCCATAGTAGGGACTTCCAATACCAGGTCCATCACGGTAATCTCTTAGCACCACAAGGAACCATTGTAGGGAGTTCGAATCCCAGGTTCATCATGGTTATGTCTTAGAACCACCAGGATCCATTGTACGGCGTTCGAATCACAGGTTCATCATGGTTGTGTCTTAACACCACCAGGATCCATTGTAGGGCGTTCGAATCCCAGGTTCATCATGGTTATGGCTTAGAACCACCAGGATCCATTGTAGGGAGTTCGATTCCCAGGTTCATCATGGGTATGTCTTAGCACCACCAGGATCCATTGTAGCGATTTCGAATCCCAGGTCAATTATGGTTATGTCTTAGCACCACCAGGATCCATTGTAGGGACTTCCAATACCAGGTCCATCATGGTAATGTCTTAGAACCACCAGGATCCAGTGTAGGGCGTTCGAATCCCAGGTTCATCATGGTTATGGCTTAGAACCACCAGGATCCATTGTAGGGAGTTCGATTCCCAGGTTCATCATGGGTATGTCTTAGCACCACCAGGATCCATTGTAGGGAGTTCGAATCCCAGGTTCATCATGGTTGTGTATAAGAGCCACCAGGATCCATTGTAGCGATTTCGAATCTCAGGTCAATTATGGTTATGTCTTAGCACCACCAGGATCCATTGTAGGGACTTCCAATACCAGGTCCATCATGGTAATGTCTTACCACCACCAGGATCCAGTGTAGGGAGTTCGAATCTCAGGTCCATCATGGTTATGTCTTAGCACCACCAGGATCCATTGTAGGGAGTTCGAATCCCAGGTTCATCATGGTTATGTCTTAGCACCACCAGGATCCATTGTAGGGAGTTCGAATCCCAGGTTCATCATGGTTATGTCTTAGAACCACCAGGATCCATTGTAGGGAGTTCGATTCCAGGTTCATCATGGGTATGTCCACCATCCTTAGGATCCATTGTAGCGATTTCGAATCCCAGGTCCATCATGGTTATGTCTTAGCACCACCAGGATCCATCAGGGACTTCGAATCCAGGTTCATCATGGTTATGTCTTAGAACCACCAGGATCCATTGGGATCCATTGTAGGGAGTTCGAATCCCAGGTTCATCATGGTGTATGGGATCTTAGCACCACCAGGATCCATTGTAGGGAGTTCGATTCCCAGGTTCATCATGGGTATGTCTTAGCACCACCAGGATCCATTGTAGGGAGTTCGAATCCCAGGTTCATCATGGTTGTGTATAAGAGCCACCAGGATCCATTGTAGCGATTTCGAATCTCAGGTCAATTATGGTTATGTCTTAGCACCACCAGGATCCGTTGTAGGGACTTCCAATACCAGGTCCATCATGGTAATGTCTTACCACCACCAGGATCCATTGTAGGGAGTTCGAATCTCAGGTCCATCATGGTTATGTCTTAGCACCACCAGGATCCATTGTAGGGAGTTCGAATCCCAGGTTCATCATGGTTATGTATTAGCACCACCAGGGTCCATTTTAGGGAGTTCGAATCTCAGGTTCATCATCGGTATGTCTTAGCACCACCAGGATCCATTGTAGGGAGTTCGAACCCCAGGTTCTTCATGGTTATGTCTTAGCACCTCAAGGATCCATTGTAGCAATTTCGAATCCCAGGTCAATTATGGTTATGTCTTAGCACCACCAGGATCCATTGTAGGGAGTTCGAATCCCAGGTCAATTATGGTTATGTCTGAGCACCACCAGGATCCATTGTAGTTACTTCCAATACCAGGTTAATCATGGTTATGTATCAGAACCACCATGATTCATTTTAGCGATGTCGAATCCCAGGTCCATTATGGTTTTGTCTTAGCACCACCAGGATCCATTGTAGCGATTTCGAATCACAGGTTCATCATGGTTATGCCTCAGCACCATCATGATCCATTGTAGGGAGTTCGAATCCCAGGTTCATCATGGTTATGTCTGAGCACCAGGATCCATTGTAGAGATTTCGAATAACTGGTTCATCATGGTTATGTCTTAGCATCACCAGGATCAATTGTAGCGACTTGGAATCACTGGTTCATCATGATTATGTCTTAGCACCACCAAGATCCATTGATAGTGAGTTCGAATCACATCACTGGTTAACCATGGTTATATTTTAGCCACTCCAGGATCCATTGGTAGTGAATCCCAGGTCCATCATGGTTATTTCTTTGCACTACCAGGATCCATTGGTAGTTAATCCCAGGGCCATCATGGTTATGTCTTAGCACCACCAGCATCCATTGGTATTGAATCCCCGGTCCATCCTGGGTATTTTTCAGCTTATTTAAATTGGCAGTGTTTCAAGGCACTTTGTTTACCATTGTACATGTGTTTTATATAATATTTTGTCATTTGTGGCATTTCACTGCTGTTTCACAGCCAAGGTAAGGAATGGCAGAACTTCCGGAGTCCTGTGAATGCGCAGATGATGCGGGCCCGATCAGCTCAACATTTCCTGTCTGCCCAAAACGAGGTTGCAGACGACCTGGTGACCCGGATGAAGCAGGACCAGTTTACTCCGCACGGAATGTCAGAGATGTTTTTTAAGTACTCTTGTGAAAGTAAGTTTTAGTTACTGATTGCACTATTAAAGAGTCTACCGACACGAAATCTGTAGTTGTAGTTGAATCTGATTCAGTGATGAATAACCCTTCAAAACACTGTGTCCCTTATGGAAACATTCTGGTCATATCACCAAAACAATTGGACTTCGAGTCTTCGACAATACATCGAATTCGTTATAAATTAGGCTATCTTATCGCATTCATTGCTGACGGTACTTAAAATAAACGTGTTAGAATTTTATTGATAATAAAGTTTTTTTGAATATACTGATTATGTCGAGAAAACCCAAAAGCATATGTTGTAAGAAACGAAATCCATATAGATCTGGTTTGATGAGCATTTGACACATGTGCATGTGTTTGGTTGGTTGGTTTGTGCAATAGTCCAGTTATATGGCGGCGTTCTGTAAATAAGCAACTCTGGACAAGACAATCCAGTGATCATGGGCATCGTTTTACGCAATTGGGATACGATGACATGAGTCAAACAAGTCAGCCACCCTGACCACCCGTTAGTCGACTCTTACGACAAGCATGGGTTACTGAAGACCAATTCTAACCCGGATCTTGACGGGAGCATGTCTTAGGACAATGATGTCTCAGTTTGTAGGACCTACTAGTACTAGACATGTCAACAGCTCTCCGTTAAATCGGAAATATTGCTGACGATGTGACTCCACATCATACTATAAACTTCATAATTTATTGTTCATCCCCAGGCATCTGCGTGGTCGCCTTCAACAAACGCCTCGGCTATCTGCAACGTGACGTCGACATGTACCCGGACAAGCTCCAGTCCCTGAAGGACGTCAGAGACATGTTCCGCATTATGAACGAATGTCTCTACATTCACCCGTTCGTGTTGAAAAACTTTCCCCTGAAAGTCAAAGATGACTACAAAGCCGCGGTGGACAGGCTTGTTAGGTAAACTGTCTTCAGTGTACTAACACCACTCATGCAAACCTATCTTCACACAGGGATTTTTATCTGACCTTTTTTCAGTGCAGTCATATATTCGAAATAACATCAAAACATAACTCTCCACCATTTCTAAGACAGCTGATTGCTTGAGAAAGCGAAGAGAATTAATTGGAAATTACCCAATTACGAGATTTTGCAAATGAATTGATAACGATACATTTCGGATGAATTGTCTTCAGGCAAAATTATTAAAATTAATGATGATGTAAACGACTGCCAGTGAAATTAATAAAACTACGAATACAGAGCTGAATATTTACTTCCGGGTTGATGATTCACTTTCTGAGTCCTGTGTCTATATAGTCAAGCCCACGACCATTATCATGGCATGTTGGAGGACATCAGACAGCGCCAAAGTGCCGGCACCCTCGACTCCCAGGAGAAGAATCTGATGCTGTCCCTGCTGATGTCCAACAAGCTGACAGTAGACGACATGGGGGCCATCGCCCTCGACCTGTTCAGCGGGGGAACAGACTCGGTAAGAGGACAGATTAGCTGGCCTGACCCTTACACAACAGGATGCGTTCCAAGTTGCAGATTATCGAAGGGGATGGTTGTGTGTATACAATTCTTCTCGACCTGATCCATACTACTACTACTACTACTACTACTACTACTACTACTACTACTACTAATAATAATAATAATAATAATAATAATAAGGGCCTGATGATGTACGCCTCTTCGTGGTGGGCCTAGATAGGGGAATTTTATTCCCTGAACTGAACGTACATCACCCAGTTAGGGCTGACCCCCCGAAGCTGGTTTTTCACTGGGTTACAAATAGCTAAGAAGAATTTTATCTTTCAACTCCGCAGCCCAGTCAGCCTTCCTCCGGTAGTGACACTAACCATACTGGAGATGGGACTTGCCCCAGGGGAAGGCACAGAACCCGACCAAGAATATCTTGGTCAAACCACCTTAAAACCACACTACTTGAGTGTGCGAGAGCGACAGGATGGCCTGAAAATCCACGTATCAATGGCAAGTCGCTGAAGCTGCATTGGGACAATGCCATGCCCATGTATGCTTACCTGACGGAGCAAAATCTCCGAGATCAATTCCGGCGGCTGAAAAATCTCTTGCCCCGTGAGCCAGTTCAACCCACAACTGGTGCCCGTCAGGAACCTTTGCATGAACAGAATGCTCAAGTGGCAGCAGACCCAAAACTTCTGATGGACGTCCGTGTCAACCTCTTTCCTCTTGCTGATGGAAACTCTTCCGGCGTAGAGCCAATTGGCCCCGAAATTTCAGACCCTCACTCTTCCTCTTCTTCAGTTGCAGATCTTTCCGAAAACCCTGTGTATATTTTGTTTCATTCCATTTATGATGAAATATCTGGCATACCTTTAGAAAATCGGAGGCCAATTAAACAAACAAATGAATCTTTTCCCAAAACTGAAATCAATTTATTAAATGATATTATTTCTATGAAACTTTCATCGGACTGTTCATTACATGAAGTTAATTGTTGTGTCTATGCTGCGGCTCGAAACTTGGAGGAAATTCACACAGTTTCCAAAGAAAAATCATCTAATACTAAGAACAATACACCAAAGAAAAACCGGTTTCAAGTAAAACTAACGGAAACTCGAAAATACATTTCCTGGATAGAGCTGTGCCTGAAGTTAAGATCATCAGGGAGTCCAATGTCAAAACGGCAAAAGGCAATTTGGAGAAAATTAAAATTACAATACAAGACAACAAAAGAAAAGGTACTTCTCCAAATTGTCGATTCCCTTAAGGCCAAAATAAGGGTTTGGAATGAGAGAAAGAAAAAATGGGAAAAGAAAAATAAATTTATCAAACAAAATAAACTTTTTAGAAATAATGAAAAGCACTTTTACAGGCAATTGAAAACAAAGGGTGATGGTGAACATGATAAACGGCCTCCCATGGATGCCAATGAAAGGTTCTGGAAACAGTTGTGGTCTGTACCCGGCAACTGTAACCTTGAGGCACCATGGGTCCGTGATTATGACCATGCAATGCATGAGAAAGTAACTAGGTCGTTTGTCTGTTACATCTCACCAGATTGCCTGAAAAGTGTTATAAAAAGTCCAAATCTAATACAGCTCCAGGGCCCGATGGCATTCGAAACCGGTATTGGAAACTGTTCCCCTGTGTCCAAACACCATTACTACACTGTTTTAATACTCTCGTGGACACAGGTGATGTTCCTCCATGGTTCTGCAAAGGTCGAACAATACTCCTTCCCAAAAAAGGAGACTTGACTGATCCCAAAAACTTCCGCCCTATCACATGTTTGAATACACAATACAAAATATTCACAGGGTGTTTGACAAACCTCGTGTCATCTTACTGCTCTTCCAATGATATCATTTACAGAGAGCAGAAGGGGGCAAGAAAGGGATCTGGGGGTGCAAGGATCAACTTCTTGTACAGAAAATGATTTTGGAAGAGGCAAAAACATATCACCGCAACCTCTCCATGTGCTGGATTGACTACAAAAAGGCATACGACTCTGTCCCTCACGAATGGATTCTGAAGTCTCTTCATTGTATTGACCTCCCCGAGCGACTACTTGATTTACTCAAGTCTTTAATGAGTTGCTGGTCGACTCAGCTTGAGATGTACTCGCAAGGGCAGGTTCAGACTTCGGAATCTATTCCAATCAGAAGGGGAATATTTCAGGGGGATTCCTTTAGTCCTTTGCTTTTTTGTCTGTCTTTAAATCCTTTGAGCTTTCTGCTCAATAAAGAGGAGGGTTACCATCCTGGACCTCCTCAGCACAGATCCCCAACACCTCTTACTCATCTCCTTTACATGGATGATATCGAGCTCCTTGCCAAAGGAGATACCAATTTGAAAGAGCAGGTTCTCCTTGTCGAGTCCTTTTCGAATGATATTTGCATGACATTTGGACTCGACAAATGTAATACTCTTCATTTGAAATGAGGCAAGGTAACTAATGATGGATCGGTCAAGTTACAAGGGGGAGGAGTTATTGAGCATCTTGTGGAAGATCAGGCCTACACCTATCTTGGAATGCAAGTTCGAGACAAGCTCCAGGATGCCCAGATTCAAGACAAATTTCGGGCCGAGTATAAATATCGTTTAAAGAAAATCTGGAGCTCAGAGCTAAATGCTCGAAACAAGGTCAAAGTCACCAATACTTTTGCTGTGCCAGTCCTTTCCTATTCCTTTGGAGTAGTTGATTGGACGAAACAAGACATCCAGAGTCTTGACCGTCTGACCAGAAGGATCATGTCTGATAACAGAGCCCACCACCCTCGTTCCTCTCTTAACCGTTTATACATGCCAATCAATTCTGGAGGTCGGGGTTTGATTAATGTGGAGGCTCTTCATGATAGAATTTTATTGTGTACTTTTGCACATATTTATTTATCAGATGATCCTCTGGTGATGCATGTGAAGACTCATGATGAAAGCAAGGAATTCCACAGCTATTTTAAGCGTGCCAAGGTTGTTGGACAGAATCTGAAATTTGAGGTTGATTTTGTTAATGGCGATGTACTGCTGGACGGTACAGTGATGGGAGTAAACCAGGTGAAGTCCTTTACCAAGTCTGCCCAGAGTCGGTCTTTTGTGGAGAAGCTTTCTGAGAAGCCATTGTATCGTGTGTACATGCAGTGTGTTGAACAGAATAGCAATCCCACAGACTCCTTCGCCTGGATGAAGTCGGCTGGTCTTAAATGTGAAACCGAGGGCTTCCTTTTTGCTGCTCAGGACCAGTCACTTCCCACTCGCAATCGCCTAAATGTGATTCTTAAAGAAAATATCAATATGAAATATCGACTTTGCAATGAATTCACGGAGACCGTCCAACACCTTGTCAGTGGATGCCCTTCTTTGGCACAAACAGCATATCTTAAACGACATGATGGCATGGTTCGTTGCTTTTACTACCGTCTTCGACATGCCTGTGGCTTTGACTCCGAGGTCCATCAATGGTACGACTCTGAACATGTCCAGGGCGTCATGGAAAATGATGCTTTCAAACTTCTGTGGAATAGGCCCATATACAGCCTCAGAAGAATTCCAGCCAACAAACCTGATCTTGTCCTTTTTGATAAAGCCAATGAATTTATTTATATCATAGAATTTTCTGTCCCTTTTGACACCAATGTGATTGCAAGATTAAGGAAAAGCATGATAGATATGCGGACCTCGCCTTTGAAATGTCTCGCTTGCATCCCAAGTACACTGTCGTCAGGCTCCCCATTGTTCTCGGTGCCCTTGGTTTGGTACCTCCTGATCTCTTGGCGCAGATCAAGAGAGTGCCTGGGTTCTCCACCGGGAGTACAGCCCTTCTGACACTCTGGGTAATGCAGAAGGCTGCAGTGTTGGGGAGCCTTCATATTCTCCGGAAAGTTCTTGGTGGGTTCGACTAGGCAGCGTTTCCTGGGAGAAGTCCCATTCGCTGTCTGGGCTGCGTGTAGAGGGGGCAAGGGCCCTGAGCTGATGATGAGCCTTACCAGCCTGACTGTGCCAGGATCACCCGAACCCTCTCTGCTGCATATTATCTTTAATCTGTAAAACATAATAATAATAATATTAATAATAATTATCATCATCATTAACTCTTTCACCATTAAATCGAAAAAACCGCTGAGGACGATGTAGCGAATAGTAACATAAGAATCCTGATAAACACTCCGTATCTGAAGTCAATAAAATTCCGACATATCTCCATATTATCGATACAGTAGTATATAAAGAACCCCATCATTTATACAACACTAACGTGTCCATACATCCCACAGCGTCGATAAATCCCCGTGTAATGGTCTCGTAAGCTCTGGTGTTGTCAGGCGACTGACCCTGTGGTCAATGGTCGGAGGATACGTGAGTAGCAGTTTTCCTGGCGGCTGGTGAGTCTGGGTCGTGGTCCGGCGTTACGTCTTGGCGTATTCCACCAACGGTTTGTATTCTCTGGAGTTGTGTCTCTATATCATGAACCACTTGTCACTGTCCAACCGTTTGTGTTTGTTTGTTTGGGTGGGTGGGTTTTTAACGCCGCGCTCAGCAATATTCCAGATATACGGCGGCGGTCTGTAATTAATCCAGTCTGGACCAGACGAACTAGTTATCAACACCAATTGGGATACGATGACATGTGCAACCAAGTCTGCGAGCCTGACCACCCAATACCGTCAGTCGCCTTTACCGACAAGCATGGGTTGCTGAAGACCAATCCTAAGCTGGATCTTCACTGGTAGTTTACTTACAGTCATACATAATGAAATGTTCTTTGAGTTGATTGTAATTCCTGCAATCTCGTTGGTCATGTGTTATTGCATTCATTTTCTAATGGTTGTTGAAAATCAAGACACGCCCACTAGTGGGTGCATGAGTTTAGTTTTACGCCACACTCAGCAATATTCCAGCCATATGGCGGCGGTCTAGAAATAACCGAGTCTGGACAAGACAATCAAGTGATCAAAGCAATTTGGAACCGATGACATGTGTCAACTAAGTCGTCAAGCCTGACCACCCGATCTCGTCAGTCACCTCTTACGATAAGCATGGGTTACTGAAGATCAATTCTAACCCGGATCTTCACGGGTTCCACACCCACTGAAGCGGACTACTTTCACCACTATGGATTGTCGGAGAATCGCATCTATAGTCGAGAGAATTCACTTTCTGCTTAAGCGTGTAATTCTTACACAGGACATTTCTAAATTTCAAGAGCCACCTTTCGATACCCGAAAGGCATGAAAGGCAGGAAGGCAGGAAAGACATGACGCAACATATCTACATGGCTTGCGGGCTAACACGCATGTTTTTCTTTGCTTTCTCGGAAAACCAATGCCTGAGTTTATAGGTTACTGACCATCTCATTTCAAATAGCCCTCTTCTTCCAGACATATTTTCTCTGGTTCTTTATAGTCTGACTGGTTTGGGCCATCACGTCTCTTTTCGTGATTGGCAGGTCCTGTGAAACTTTATTATGAAGCTACAAGTCACTCCCATTGTGGTTTACCCAGTTCAAACATCATTGTTATCCAGCCAAAAAGGGATATCTCGTTCAGAACGTTGAGTCATACACAGTAAAGTACGTTTATAACGAACTCAAAGGGACAACTAAAGTTAGTTTTCGACTGAAATATACAGCAAATGGCCGGAACCAAAACAAACAGTTCGTTATATCCGTCAGTTCGATATACGCGTGTTCGTTATACACATAGTTTGCTGTAACTTGTTCTTTGCTCTCGATTCAGGCATCGATGACCACTGCTTATCGTACAAAATTATGTTTCATCAGATATCATTCATCATGCATATATTACCATGCTTTTCAGATATGATTGTTAAATTGTTTCTGCATGCTAACCCATCAGCGATTCTCCTAGTCTACTGCAATTGGGAGTGGCCCTCTCGCCTAAGGTTCCACTTTCAGCTGGGAAGGTTTGTTCTCTTTTGCGCCCCAGATGCCTTTGATCGTGGCAACCAATTCCGGATTCGCTTCCAGTATGCTCTGTTTCTTGTTTTGTCACCACCGATGGTAGAGAGTTACTTCAAAATGGTGAGCGTCTCATACATGATTTAACAGAAACACCACACCCTCTCACTTCGAATAGGATGCATGTGTTTTCAGATTGGTCAAGACTCAGATAATTACCGGAAGTAGAATTCCAAAAACATTTTCAACCAATCAAATTGCAGTAAAAATAACCTATGCGTTATGTCCTCGGCAGACTGCCCGGATGATACAGATGCTGCTTTACGTCCTTGCCCGTAATCCAGACAAGCAAGAGAAGCTGTTCCAGGAGGTGCTTGGCGAACTCGGCCCATGTGGCACCATCACGGTCGCCGCCCTCGAGAACATGAAGTACCTTCCCGCGTGCCTTAAGGAGTCCTTCAGGTAAGCGTCAATTGTGGAGGGTATCGAATCTTGTGTAGTCCAAACGATAAACCCTCGGTATTGATTGCTGTGCATCTGACACTCAATCAAGTGTGTTCCAGCCATATCGTGACAATCGGGGTGTCAGAAATTCACTTGGGATAGAATATTTGTGACTGCTATGAGATCGTTGGCTGATTGTTAGTAATCCTTTGGCTATGCCTCCCTGATTGGCATGTGAAACCATGAGTGTTCTAGTGAAACGTAGACAAGGTTTAAATTATTTTAGATGCGTTGCTAAACCTGTTCAATGTTGAATCACATGTCACGATGTCTGAATAACATATTAATGAATGAAACGAGTAAAATTATAGGTCCCACTGGAAAGATTGGATACTCGTATCACTAAGTGTTTCTGTATAAATGTTAAAGGTCACATAAACCCTAGGGGGTAAAAATACATAAATCACTAACTGGCATCGTTATAAATGAAACCCCGTCATTAAAACTACTCATTTCGACTTTTAATTGACTTAAATCGACCTTTTTGACAACAGTGCACAATTCTCACCCGCGAACGAAATTTCAACCAATCAGAGCGGCGCGACTCTGTGACGTCATATGAGGAATAGCTTTGAGGGCCGATGCAGAATTCATCTACATTTTAGGGGGTAAATTATTTTGTTTACAGGCTTGTATAAACCTGAAATCGTGACAATTGTTGTGGAAAATGAAAGCTATATGTTCTCACAATCTACTGGCATTTAATTTTGTCTCCTGCTTTGCCTAGTTTCCGAGTTACAACTTGTTTTCATAGACGCTTCTGTCACAATTGATTGGTGTCGTTAGGCCCTATTTGTATAATGACTGATCCAAATTGATCCCATTTCTGTGTTTTTTTACCTCGATATTTAATCATGTCACGTAAAAATCTGTTTGTATTCTCAAAACAGTGTCGGCCCATGAGTTTTCACATGCAATACAGCAATTAATACTCCCTTGTAACCCGTGTTAGGTGGTATAAACCTACACATGTTATTTGTCATCATTCACTTGATGGTCAGTTAATGAATTTATAACAGGTATAATTAGTGGTAACACACTTAGATTACCCGACAAAGGTTCCAATTTGGCATTTCTTGTGTCTGGAGTAAATATTCAACATTATAAACATCGATCAAAGGATTAACCGATAACACGCTGATTGATTAATTACTTTTATCTTACACAGCCGGATTTGGCAAAAGGTAGTGTTTATGCGGTATTTACTAATCTATACTGAATAAGTCGTGATGTCTGCGTAAAAACAACGTCCTTCTTTCACATTTGACTGATTGCCCATTATTGGCTAACTAAATTACTGTTTTTAATGAAAGGAGGACATTATGCAATTAGTTGCCAGGTGTGCTATCTTGGGTGACCAATGAGACTATACACCAATGCCTGAAAAGATTGATCACTTTTTCGTATATTAAACTGTTAAAAGACACATCATTTGGAACAGTTTTGTGGATATTGATGGATACATTCCTCAAACAAGGTAATGGCCTGATATTGTTCCTATAACTTTAATCTGTTTTAATTTTAATATTTGCATTTTGTTTTTTATTCATTTGTCGTAGCATTCAACAAAATCATTGTTTTCGCCGTGAAGTGTAATGAGACAGACAACATACACTAGGGTGTGTGTGCAATTATGATTCACATTGGCAAACTATAAAATGTCTAGATATTACAGTTCTGTTATAAATTCACTATAAGTATCAGCAGATCGTCAGCTTTTATTTAGTTTCAAAATGCATAAAAGTATGATAATAAACTAATTAGGATTATAAGACCAAATATAAAGACGCACATTGACTAGTATCTACATACTGGTGAGTGGACATTAACCATGGGAATGTAGCAAGAAATTTATCGCGCTGTATTGTGACTTCGACCCCACCTCGCCTTCGTGGAAGAAATCGTTATGTTATAAGTTGTGTCATTGAAAATCCTTTTGGTTATGATTCCAATACATATTTAACTACGAGTAGAAAGTAGTTTTGATTTTCTAACTTGATGAAAACAAACTATAATCTCATTAATTCTAACAGACTTTACGATTTTCAAAAATGGCGGCGCTCTATCGAACATCCGCCAGTCTGAGGATAAATGCTATTTAGGTTTGTTTTCACCGAGTTACAAAATCAAAACTACTTTCTACTGGTAGTAAAATATTTATTTTATTGATGGCCAATAGGATTTTGCATGATTATATGTATAACATAACAATTTCTCTCCTGGCAGCGAGGTGGGTGTCAATATAATACTACTTACAATAGTATTGTTACTTCGACCACAACCTCACTTCCGAGGAAGAAATCGTTATGTTACAAGTTGTGTTATGGAAAATCTTTATGGTCATCAATCATATACATATTTTACTATAACTAGTAAGTAGTTTTGATTCTTTAACGTCCGTGAAGCGATCTGAACACAAGTAAGATATCGTTTCAGGCTTCCACACCGCTACACTTCGCGACTCACAAACATAACCCATTTAGCACGAACTGCGGGGGTCCTGTGGAAATCTGTGCATGGTGACACCATCACCCGACCCCTAGGAGCAATTGACAACAAAGCAACGATTCGGCATGTCGTCGTTCATGTCGAGAAATCATCAAAATGATGAGCGTGCTACACACTTTCTATACAACTAACTGAAAATCGTTCCTCATATGACGTCACTGCAGTGCTCTGGCGACAGAGTTACGTAACCTGTCTGTGGTTTCGTTGGCGGGCGAGAGGGAAGCAGGCGACTTTTTGGCCACTTTTAATCGCTCGGTATTAATTAACCACAAGTTTTTAAAGAATAAATTTGGTGTTCCGCATAAGACTAACCACAAATCTTTCATATGTAATGGTTAAAAGAGTAACAAAAAACAAAGTTTAGTGGTTCTTTAAGTAAACCACCCTCAAATGACTATGGACCATTGAACGAAAAAGCATAAAAACACTGTCCCCACAATCCCGATCCTCAGCATAGGCACCTCCCCAATTTAAGTTTATGTGAAGGAAAACCAAATTCTATGGATAGTCAGCTTCTTCATTGCAATTAATGCCACGTTTCGGTGGAGATTTTAACATCGTTATCAAGCAGGTCATCACTCATCATCTGCTTGATAGCGGTGGTAGTATTTACACCGAAACGTCACATTTATTGCAATAAAGAAGTTGACTGTCCATAGATCTTGGTTTTCCTTCATCTTTACAGCCTCTAAAATGACTTTTAAAGAAGATATGTGCTCCCCACCGCCCATGGGATTACTGTGGTGTTATGTGATAATGAAATACCAGCAATAGTTTCTGATGGCTTGTGATAAAAGGAGTTCTTGCAACCCGGCGGTTGTTGAGGCTCGGATATATACTGTGATGTGGCTGGAATATTGCTTTAGTGTAAATGTACCTACTCAGTGTGAATGTGAACATTGCAGGTTGTACCACCCTGTTCTGACGGGGACCCAGCGGTATCTGCCTACAGACATCACTCTCCAGGGGTACAGGATCCCCGCAGGAGTACGTATACTTTCGTACTTTACGTAAAATGATCCCCATCGTCGCAAGCATCACCATCTACAGCAGTCGCACCGGCACCACCATCTGCACCATTAGGGTTATTTGGGGCACTTTTAAGTAGTCAGTTTTTAGCATGAATTTGGCCATGCACAATTTGTCCTTCCTTGCAAATGTTGCAGATGATAGACTTTAAGCCATGTTTTATATTTTGGTAGTGTGATGCAAAACAATCCAAGTTAAAATTTGTATGAAGAATATTTGGGATTATTAGAAAACTATACTGACGTACAAAAGAAAGCACACACCTGGTGTTTTGAGACTATTAAAACAACGTAAATATTTTGCTAGCAATGTTCCAATTGGGTACGATATCTATGGTGTTATTGCAGCACGTACACAATGTTTGTGACTTGTGAGTTGCAACCAAAACACTTTTCTAAATATTACGCTGTTTTCAGGAAAACATTTTACCAAAGCATGAGGTGTGTACTTTCTTTTACGTTCAATCTCGGGTGTTGCCTAAACCACACATGTAGACGTTTGAGGCCCAGATCACATATGTTCATGATTGAAAAGTGGAGATGGTTAAACCGAAATTACGGCTTGAACAGCGTTTATGTTCGTGTTGTGTAACTGATATAGCGGCCCAATACAATGTGTCTATATTGCTTCCAAAATATATTTAGAGGCATGTGTTACTGTGACAAGGAAGTTTTTCATTGGTAATCGTGTGAATGTATTTTGGAATTGGAACCAGAGGAAGTGTGTGTTAGAATAGACGAAGAAACGCAACCAAGTAGTTGATGTACCACGGAAATTAGCTAGAAGGATGACATATGCAACAGAACAGCGCTTTTTGGAGTGATAACACGCGACAAAGCCAGACCACACGTTATTAGAAGTTGAACAGCAGGATCTGAATCCGGTTTGGTTTGGTTTGTTTGTTGTTTAACGCCACACTCAGCAATGTTCCAGCTACATGGCGGTATCTGAATCAGAACAATGTTAATGTGTTTCCCTGGCCCAGTTAACACGTCATCCATTGAACACGTGTGTGATAACATGGAGCGACGTTTACGACTGCATCAAATCCTACAACAACGACTGAATTTTGAATCACTCTCTGAAAGGTCGAGGAGATGCTTCAAGAATACGTATTGACGGATGATCTTATTTCAGAAATGATTTGTTTTTATTGAATTGTGGACGAGTCACGGGTTCTATTTCTTTAGTACACACTTATCCTCTATGTATATTGTCAAACGACTTAGTTTATATTCACATAATACGGGAGTCCTTAGGCTGGGTAGAGTGTCGATGTATAGGGGTTGATTGGGTAGCCTTGTGGTTAAAGCATTTACTCGTCATGCAGGCGACCCACATGGGTACAATGTGTAAAGCCCGTTTTCGGTGTACCCTGCTGTGATATTGCTGGAATATTGCTGAAAGCTGCGTGAGACCACAGTATGTCAAGTTTTGGTCCCCCCGCCGTGGCCACATCAGAGACAAACTGTTGACCATACTTTGTACCAGTAAACTCTTCTGCCCTTCTGACCCACATACGACCCTGACCTCTCCTTGAGATATGTACCAGTCGGTTCATCTTCAGATTGTGTAACTAAATTATAAGTTGTTCACTGGTCACGAGGGGGGCATGGGTTCATGTACCCTCGATGTTGGTTGGGGAACATAAACCAACATCGAGGGTAAATCAACCCATGGGCCCCGAGGGACCAGTGAACAACGTATTTATCTTACCAAACACCTTCATGTTAATTTTGAATTGGTTGAAGGACGGGTAAAAATCTTTTTGTAGCCATCGCTAGATTTTGCTGACAAGAAAAACAGATTTAGAGTTATCTTCCTTCCATCGATTTGTATTCGCAAAACATCGGTAATTTCCGTACATCATACGTGATTCAATGTTATTCGAGATAAAGAATTACTACCACGAAGTACCAAATGAGTTGCCATTGACAGCGGGATACATTGAAATGTTACTCGCTTGTACGCGGGGTACATTGAAAATAATAGAAGAGGGCTCAGCCAGTCAGAAAGCGACATTTATGTGTGAGGAAAGATAACATCTGTTGTAAATCTCCTGTTGTAGAAGGCCGTTAGCGCTTGGAAGACCGTAACTCCCGTAACATTAACACAGACCTACGACCGCTAAGGTTGTTGTATTCAACGGGGGCGATGGGGTTACCTGATGGTTACGCCGAAGGCCCGGGTTCGATTCCCCAATGGGTACAATGGGTATTTCTCTCAATTCAATCATTTCAATCCTGACTTCGTCGTATTTCTCTCAATTCAATCATTTCAATCCTGACTTCGTCGAATATCATGTATCCCTGTTAGGAATGAATGTGTAGTTAATCTTCCAAATCACATACTAAATAGAAGGAATCAGAAGGAATACCGTATCAGTTCTGATGTTGTTGGAAGAATAGCACAATGAAAATCACGACATTTCCTAATTAAAGATATAATTGATATCAGTTAGGGTCCGGGTCAGCACTTGTACATAATAATATTAAAATGTTTTACATAAAAAGTAGTGGTGGTGGTGTCATTGCGTTTGTACAGGGTGGGGTTGGGGCACTTGCTTTGGCACATTTCGAAGTGTTCATTCACACTAAACATGCTACTCCATAAAGATCATCATGACCCCACCACCACTACACAACCACCCCCCTCCACCTAGCGATAAATCATGCACGGTCGCTTTAGTCGAGTGATTAAGTGCTTGCGTACAAACCTATTCTATTCAACGGAAGTTAAGAACACCTGATGTAATCATTTTACAACCGGTAGTCTGTCCTGCAATGATCACGTGTAGTATTGTTAAGGTATTTGGTGTCTTTATCTGACTCTTTCTGATGAGTATCTATTAAGACTCGGGAAAATCCGGTGTAGAATTGGTCTTCAGCGACCCATGCTTGTCATAAGACACGACAAAGGGAGGCTCGCTGACTTGGTTGACGCATGTCATCGTATCCCAATCTCGAAGATCGATGCTCATGCTCATTCACTGGATTGTCTTGTCCAAACTGGAATATTTACAAACCCCGTCATATGGCTGGAAAACTGCGGCGTTACTCAACAATCCAACAAGTTTACGTTCTTGTGTTAGATAGGTTAAACAACAAACAAACAGTATCCTTCAACATGAATATTATGCGGAGAACAATGACGATGCCAGGGGTATCTCTTACACGTCTTGTTATATGTGTTTCGACTCGATCTCCCGAGGGACTGCGCGGTTGAACCGTTATACCGGAATGCGATGTTTAAATGAGACGTATTGCAATACCTTTTCTGAGAACCGGTATTTTCAGGGAAAAAGTATCAAAAGTATCGTGATTAAGGTTAAAGTTTAAGTTAAAATCTACTTTTGTTCATTACATCCCTTCGCATTTAATTGACTAAATGGCATACGTTACTTACTATGAACAGCATAGACAGGGGAAGGACACCATGGCTAACTATCCAACCTAATTTTGAGGTTGCCATTATGTTGAACCATAACGTATATTTGGGGGGACTTGGCGTCGAAAAAGTAGGTTCTGGTTGTAGAATCAGTGTCACTCACCTTTTAAGTCGACAGGTCTCATTGAATTGCAATACATTTTATTAGCCAATACACGCAGAAATCTCAGCCCTCATACCGGTTAGAATTGGTCTTCAGCAACCCATGCTTGTTGTAAGAGGCGACTAACGGGATCGGGTGGTCAGGCTCGCTGACTTGGTTGACACATGTCATCGTATCCCAATGGTGCAGATCGATGCTCATGCTGTTAATCACAGGGTTGTCTGGTCCAGAGTCGATTATTTACAGACCGCCGAGTGCTCAGTACAGATTGCTGAGTGCGGCGTTAAACAACAAACAAACAAACAAACAAACGCAGTCCAACTCAATTGTTGAGTAACAAAATAACCCTATCCAGTTTTTCACAGGTCCCTGAGCTGATACAAAGGTAGCAATATCATCCTGTTAACTGATAGGGGCGGTGGGGTAGTCTAGTGGTTAAAGCGTTGGCTCGTCACGCCGAAGACCCGGGTTCGAATCCCTACATGGGTACAATGAGTAAAGCCCATTTCTGGTGTTCCCCGCCGTGATATTCATGGAATATTGCTAAAAGCGGCGTAAAACCAAACTCAGTCAGTGTTAACTGATAACACTGCTTCATAAGTGTTCCCTTATATTTTACTCGTTGTCAGTATTAATAACTTGTATGGCAGTAACTATTGTGTTGGGTGTGTTCACAACAATTAATAAATGCAGTCCATTTTGCAATTCACTTTATATTTTACCTTTTATGGTATTTCTATTCAAGACAATGTATTTGTGGGGGTGGTAATGTAGCCTAGGCGTTAAAGCGTTCGCTCGTCACGCCAAGGACACGGGTTCGATTCCCCACACGGGTAAAATGTGTGAAGCCCATTTCTGGTGTCCCCCGCCGTGATATTGCTGGAATATTGCTAATAGCGGCATAAAACTAAATTCACTCATTCAATGTATTTGTGTGACAAGATTTAAAGTATTATCATGTATAAACATTCCAGACATCTTTGATCATGATGAACCAGAAAACCGTGAAGAACCGGAAGTACTTCCCTGATCCGGAAGCGTTCCTCCCTGAGCGGTGGCTGCGTGACACAAGCGGCAAGAGAATGGCCCCTATCCCACCATCCGCCTTACTTCCGTTCGGCTTCGGTCCGCGACAGTGCGTTGGGAAGAGGTTCGCTGAACAGGAAATCTACCTGGCTGTATCGAAGGTGAACTACCGCTTTACCTATATGTATATATGTTACAGGGAATGTGTGGAACCAGAGATTTCACGAAATCCCTAAAAGAATCCATGATTTCGCGAAATCACTGTGACTCCCAGGGATTTCATGTATTCCCAAATCAAACCAAAAAATACTTTTTTTTAGTATGGCTGAAAGCTAAGAAGAGCAGTTCAAGATAGTTCTGTTTGATAAATACTCTTTTCAGTAAGAAGCATTTCATTCCCAGAGACGTATGCTGCAATATGGTGTAGTGTGGTTATGCATAACGATCAAGCTAATGAGAGTTTTGGAATAGGCGTGAAATCCAGTATCCTCAAAGGTTTGTTAACGCGTTCTCAACTTGATGTTTGTCCTCAGCGTCTGCTCTTTATTAGGAATGATGTGACAATGGATAAAAAAATGTAACTGTGGTCCTAACCGATATAAATCGAGATGTGACTGTTTTAAAGCGGGATTGAAGTGTAATAGTCAGAGTCATAACATCTTGTCCCAACAAATAGGTTTCATCAGCATAAACTCTATACTCGCATTATGAATTTGGTATGCTCTATTTCAATAAAGGCTGGCAGGGGTTTCATAAATTCCCTGAGCCAATAGTTCAGTAATTTCATGAAATCCCTTGACATTTTAGGGAATATATGAACTCTCTGAGGGTCACAGTGACTAGATAGTTATGACTAGAGGGCTGTGACTAGAGGCATAGCTACGACTATAAATATGGCTACATGTACGCATGCATATAATGTACGATTGACGAAGCGCAATCTTTCCAGAACGGCCACAGTTTACCACACATTTCTGTATCAAATCGAGACGAATATTTACGTATCTTCTCACAACTCTTATGCAAATCTACCATGACTGTTTTCTTGAAGACTTGGCACTATTCCAATGTGGTGGTATGACTATATTTTCAGATAATACAAAACTTTGAAGTTTCCCTCGAACCCGGCCATGAAGAGATTGATGTTCTGTATGAAATCTTCATTGGGACCAAGGAACCAATTAGATTTGTCTTCAAGGAAAGGAAATGATTGGCTGAAGTTACGATCTGCTGGGCAGCGATTGGTTCAGATTGCAAATCTGCTTTTAGGTATGGCTTAATCTGCGACCATTTGCATCAATTTGCATATACAGCCGTGCCACTCAACGTTGTCATGTCAACAAAAGAAACACAACGTGTGATGTTAGCCACCGTCGAGCTGGTGGGTCACGCCGGGTATATTCTACCACGAGGCAAATTCTGGAGACTTTATGTGTATTTAGAGAATGTTGCCATTCATGAACGTATCATGGCAACAGTTTAAAATCTGAGAGAACGGTATATTTAAACTACTGGCATATTCACCAAAGATTGTTGTCACTGTATTTCCTGACAGTGCGTACAAACAGGTGATCTAGAATCTTGCACAATAAAGTAGTATCGTTATTAAAATAAACAGACATAATCTATTTGAACAAATATACTCCGCTCTATACTACCAGGGCAAAATAGACATGTACGTGTAAATAGGTTTAGGCGTAAGATACTTACGTTTGTAGGAAGAAATTAATTTCAAGGACCGTGTTTGACACCATACAAATCGCAAATGTCAAAGTAACGAGTAATTTGGCATGAAAATTATCTGACATTGGAAATACATGCACAACGGTCCTGTTTTCTGTTTCACACTTGCAAAGGTTCTAACTTCTGACATGATAAACATATAAGTGCGACTATTATAGGCGCAAAAGAAAATCGAAGTATGAAAAGCAGTTTGTTTAGAGTTCAATTCATCTACCACCTCCTGAGATGGTTGTGTGGAAATATTAGAAGAAAACGCTCCCTGATTCAGGTGCTTTGACCCTGAATCAGCTTTTCGTGTGATGTTGTTACAGTTAAAAAATACATGGAAGTTGTTGAGTTTACCAACGTCTCGTTTTCGCTTATATGCACATATCAGATTTCCGAACAATTTGAAAGGTTGTAATCTATTTTTAGATTATGCAGATCAAGTGGGTCAATATTTTCCCGTATTGCACATGATCTTTTTGAATGTCGCTAGTCATAAATAATATATAATTAATATCAGCACCGTATAGCATTCCTAAAGGTTGTAACACTACTCTTTTTTTGTAGTTATTTACTCCTTTAAGCGGTTATAGTTGTCGCTAGTCCTCTACCAACGAATGGTAAGGAATGTCGCTACATCTATGAATGTATTATATTACAGACATGGAGTTATTCTGTCGCTAATCTATTAACAACAGTCCTCCTTGGTTGTCGCTAACCTTGATGTTCTTGGAGTGTATTGATCATGTTATTGTGGTAAGTTACTACTGATAGTAATCTATTAACAACAGTCCTCCTTGGTTGTCGCTAACCTTGATGTTCTTGGAGTGTATTGATCATGTTATTGTGGTAAGTTACTACTGATAGTAATCTATTAACAACAGTCCTCCTTGGTTGTCGCTAACCTTGATGTTCTTGGAGTGTATTGATCATGTTATTGTGGTAAGTTACTACTGATAGTAATGTTGTTGTGATGTTGTCATCGTTGATTGATGTTAATGCAGAGTGTGAAGGCGATAATTTTATTAATGGCATAATAATGAATATCGTGACGAATATGATGATGAAGCTAATGTTCTCTGCTTTATTGAACGTTCCATATATGCCATGTCATATTTCATTCTTATCAGTGTCTGTGGTTCATCCAGTGTATTGACCTTATTGATGTTTAAACTCATGTTTAGCTTTATGGTGTACTAGTATATGGAGGACACGTGTACACATATACTACTAAACAGATGGTACTGATGTTCTGAGAGACGAGGTGGAGATTGAATGTGACAAATTGCTTTATTGAAACAGTATTCGATATTGCCATTGGACAGATACATGTACAGCTTCGGTTCAAACGAAACTGAACACAACATCCTATGGTTCGTAACAAAGGTTATGTAGTATATGTTGGTTAATCAAAAAGTGTTATTACTGGACCAACGCGTGTTATTACTGGATCAAAAAGTGTTATTACTGGATCATTTTGTTGTTTTTATGTATTGTTGGACGGTATGTGAGATTTGTACACGCCGTCAATAGGGCACCGATACTTGTCAATTGTCGCTAACTGGTTACAATGTGTGTGTAATAATTGATCAACAAGAAGATTCAGTTGTCGCTAACTGGTTACAATGTGTGTGTAATAATTGATCAACAAGAAGATTCAGTTGTCGCTAACTGGTTACAATGTGTGTGTAATAATTGATCAACAAGAAGATTCAGTTGTCGCTAACTGGTTACAATGTGTGTGTAATAATTGATCAACAAGAAGATTCAGTTGTCGCTAACTGGTTACAATGTGTGTGTAATAATTGATCAACAAGAAGATTCAGTTGTCGCTAACTGGTTACAATGTGTGTGTAATAATTGATCTACAAGAAGATTCAGTTGTCGCTAACTGGTTACAATGTGTGTGTAATAATTGATTAACAAGAAGATTCAGTTGTCGCTAACTGGTTACAATGTGTGTGTAATAATTGATTAACAAGAAGATTCAGTTGGCGCTAATCTGTCACTGTTTAGACCATTGCCTGCAAATCCCAGTGGGTATTTCATGCAAGATATAGACTTGTGTTGCCTTTGTTTCCACCATATACAATCCCCGATCAATTAGTTTGTTTTATTATGGAGTCAACTTCCCAAAAACGAAAGCTCAGCCTCACAACCTGCTTTCCAACACATTATAAAGTAGGACTTTCCAAATAAAAGAATGTCTTTGAGGATATCACGCGAGCAGTGAATTATCGGTTATGATTTGAAGAATATGTTAAAATCTTGCGGTTTTAATCATTTTTTTAATGTTCACAAGTTTGTAAAATGAAGATGATGGATAGTATCGAGATGGCACTGAATGCAAAGCCATAAAGGCACACTAAGTGGGTATGTCACATCAAGACGAGTACAATTCATATAATACGTATATTATACTAAAAGGGGAAAGTAACTGTGCATAACATAAAATTGCATAAAATAAATGTGATTTGAAAAAACAACCCTAAAGAAACAAGCACTTGATGTCACGTGTCGCGTGTGGCACGTGAACTTTGTGCACGATGAACTTACTCACGGTTTGCAGGCTTTTTGACACTGGAAGTTCACACACCTGATATTGAACATTGAAGAACGGTTGACTTTTGTCTAATCTCTGAATGTTGTGAAAAACAAGTTAATTTCAACCTAAACTGCGCGTAGTCATGCCACGGCTTACAGAAAATCAGCGTGGGTATGCTGGAGACTGGAATGGCCAGACAATTTGGTCAGTCTAACTTACTCTCAGTATTATTCGTTACACTGCTATACTGAGTCTAACAAACCCTAGTAGAAGGTCACGTCAGCCTACCTTTTGGACTGACCACTCAGAACACAGCTTACCAAATCGCGAAAGTTAACATTCGCACATACCGTTTAAACCTTTACCTAAAAAACTCGAACGATTGCTATTTTCCGCACGATCGCTTCCGAGTGATACACGTAATGAGTAAACAGTCACTGAAAATAGCGTTTTTGTCAATATTCAAGGATGTCATGTTGCGGAAATATAAGCTAATATTAACCATGTCATAATAATCCCCTAAGCGTATATACCGCAGGTCAAATATCTGTGTTTGTTGATAGATCAGTGTCAGCGACCAGGGAAGAGAAAATCCAAAAACCAATTTGTAAATCCCGCCGAACTCTATCAAGAAGTCGTTGTCAGATTGGTTAAATCCGTTCGGCCGTCGAATGGACTGTCATAGGTCACTCAAAGGTTAGCTGACGCGACCTTCTACTAGGTTTTGTTAGACTCAGTATAGCAGTGTAACGAATAATACTGAGCCTAAGTTTACATTGACTGACAATTTGGTGTCCATCGAAACCCAATCACATCTCTATGGAGACGTTTTCAACACAATGGGAACACGAGAGATTTGACTCGGACTGGCCGTCCACAGCGGAACATTCCGGTACTCCCCTGGCCAGCTGTTTCTCCGGACCTGTCCCGTATCGAGCACGCTCGGGATGAAATGGAGAGACGTTTACGTCAAGCCCAGAATCAACCATTGACGGTAGCTGAATTGGGACAAGCGTTGCTTCAGACATGGAACAACATTCCTCAATGTTTCTTGACTCGCTTAGTGTCGTCTATGCGTCGTCGTTGTTAAGTTCTTCATCATCGCCAATGGTGGACACACACGATGCTGAATATGTGAATTGACTTTTCAAACCACATCCCTTGAAAGGCGTGTCACGATCTCAAGCCGTGAAATCATACAGATTTCGATATAATCCAATCAACAGTGATTAAGGAAAACACCACAAATCATGTTTTTATGTTTTTGCATTAACAATGGCATAACATCAAATAATGCACAGTTACTTTATTACATGGCCAGTAGTATAGTTGGACGGATTTACTGTTAACTATTTGTATGTTTGTTTGTGTGTTTGGAGAATATTCAACATATTCTCACACGTTTGCTATTCATGTGTTGCAGGTTAGAGTTTTACAACCGTTTGGATCACTAGAACTGTTTCTTTGATTATTTATTTTGGGGACAGATCTCATATTTTACAGACGTGAAATTATGCTTCCAAAATGGGTCTTTTAGCTGAAGTTTTATATTGAGACCGTTTTACCTTTCAGAAAGGTGTCGTGAAGGAATTGTGTTGACTGTATGTTTGACATTGTGGACCTTTTATGTTATGTTATTAATATTCATGGATATATAAAATAAAGCCTCCATCAACTATTATTGTGGCTTTTGTACTCCGGAACCAGAGATAGAATATACAAGCTGTTGGCTGCAAGCTCGATCAGAATTTTAACACCACGTCTTACACATAAGGAGGGGCGGTGGGGTAGCCTAGTGGTTAAAGCCTCAGACCCAGGTTCGATTCCCCACATGGGTACAATGTGTGAAGCCCATTTCTGGTGTCCCCTGCTGTGATGTTGCTGGAATATTGTTAACAGCGGCGTTAAATCATACTCACTCACTCACTCCAGCATATACGCACAAAATAGTAGTTTTACAATCTGCGATTTACACGCTGAAAAGACCAGTGAAGATTGCTTGCTTGCTTGATTGTTGTTTAACGCAACATTCAGCAATATTCCAGCTACATGACAACGATTTGTAAATAATCGAGACTGGACCAGACAATCCATTGATCAACAGCATCGATCTACTCAACTGGGATACGATGACATGTGTCAACCAAGTCAGCGAGCCTGACCACCCGATCCCGTTAGTCGCCTGTTACCACAGGCATGGGTTAATGAAGATCAATTCTAAGCTAGATCTTCACGGGTGAGACCAGTGAAGACATATCAGAAATATCTGACACCCAGACAGCAAAGGTGAGTTTGATAACTAGGCTGAATACACCAGTATTAAAGTTGTATGATAGATCGGTAGCTGTTGGTGATTTGCTTTTGAAATCCAGTGGTTCCTAAAACGGAAACTATATATTGATACACAATCACCCAGTTCACGCCCAGTTCACATCCAGTTCACACCTTGCAAAATTACAGACTGTCGACAAATGTCGAAACCTACGTTACATGTAAACAAGGTACATTTCCACACATGTAAGTACAATGATGTCAAGGCCTGTGGATCAAGCCTTGAAAACTAAAATTAAACATAGGGGTATCAGTTGACAATGCAATGTATCTAACCGCAAAAGATTACCCTAAATGATGTTCGTGTTATTCTTATTACAGAAGCATCAGTAGGAAGCTCGTGAATATCCATGCAATGCAATTACGTGTCTCCTATTTTAAAACCCCTTTAGCTATCAGCTAAACAAAATACAAAATAACCATATTTTCAAGAATGGTAATTTACAGGAAGACATGCTGTAGCAGCAATTGGAATTGGAAAGATAAAGCTCGTTGATAGTTTGACAGTTTGTTCACCTTTTTATCTTTGGACACGGTGAATAACACAGCAACATTTCCCTCAAAATGTTCCGTTTCGTAATGTAACCTGAACATTCCCATCTGTTACCGTAACTAACCCCAACATTCCCATCTGTTACCGTAACTAACCTGAACATTCCCATCTGTTACCGTAACTAACCTGAACATTCCCATCTGTTACCGTAACTAACCTGAACATTCCCATCTGTTACCGTAACTAACCTGAACATTCCCATCTGTTACCGTTACCGTATTCCCATCTGTTACCGTAACTAACCTGAACATTCCCATCTGTTACCGTAACCTAACCCCATCTGAACATTCCTATCATCTGTTACTGTTACCGTAACCTGAACCTGAACCGTAACTAACCTGAACATTCCCATCTGTTACCGTTCCCATCTGTTACCGTAACTAACCTGAACATTCCCATCTGTTACCGTAACTAACCTGAACATTTCCCTGTTATCTGTTACCGTTAACTAACCTGAACATTCCCATCTGTTACCGTAACTAACCTGAACATTCCCTTCTGTTACCGTAACTAACCTGAACATTCCCTTCTGTTACCGTAACTAACCTTCCCATCTGTTACATTCCCATCTGTTACCGTAACTAACCCCAACATTCCCATCTGTTACCGTAACTAACCTGAACATTCCCATCTGTTACCGTAACTAACCTGAACATTCCCTAACCCCAACTGTTACCGTAACTAACCTGAACATTCCCATCTGTTACCGTAACTAACCTGTTACCGTAACTATTTCCCTAACCCCAACATCTGTTACCGTAACTAACCTGAACATTCCCATCTGTTACCGTAACTAACCTGAACATTCCCATCTGTTACCGTAACTAACCTGAACATTCCCATCTGTTACCGTAACTAACCTGAACATTCCCATCTGTTACCGTAACTAACCTTCCCATCTGTTACCGTAACTATTCCCATCTGTTACCGTAACTAACCTGAACATTCCCATCTGTTACCGTAACTAACCTGAACATTCCTTCTGTTACCGTAACTAACCTGAACATTCCCATCTGTTACCGTAACTAACCTGAACATTCCCATCTGTTACCGTAACTAACCTGAACATTCCCATCTGTTACCGTAACTAACCTAACCTGATTCCCCCCATCTGTTACCGTAACTAACCTGAACATTCCCATCTGTTACCGTAACTAACCTGAACATTCCCATCTGTTACCGTAACTAACCTGAACATTCCCATCTGTTACCGTAACTAACCTGAACATTCCCATCTGTTACCGTAACTAACCTGAACATTCCCATCTGTTACCGTAACTAACCTGAACATTCCCTATCTGTTACCGTAACTAACCTGAACATTCCCATCTGTTACCGTAACTAACCCCAACATTCCCATCTGTTACCGTAACTAACCTGAACATTCCCATCTGTTACCGTAACTAACCTGAACATTCCCATCTGTTACCGTAACTAACCCCTGAACATTCCCATCTGTTACCGTAACTAACCTGAACATTCCCATCTGTTACCGTAACTAACCTGAACATTCCCATCTGTTACCGTAACTAACCTGAACATTCCCATCTGTTACCGTAACTAACCTGAACATTCCATAACTATCTGTTACCGTAACTAACCTGACCATTCCCATCTGTTACATTCCCTAATCTGTTACCGTAACTAACCTGAACATTCCCATCTGTTACCGTAACTAACCTGAACATTCCCTGTTACCGTGTTACCGTAACTAACCCCATCTGTGAACATTCCCATCTGTTACCGTAACCGTACTACCTGAACATTCCCATCTGTTACCGTAACTAACATTCCCAT